CTGAATAAGAAAAAATGTATTTTTTCAATATCATATCAGTATAGTTTTGCTTTGAAGGTAAGAGCCGTCAATACTGTTGTCAAACCAGTCTTTCACTTTATTACAAAATTTGTTTAAAAATGTATACACAATCATACACTTATAAAGAAAGAGTATTGGGGTCTAGAAAGATGGCTCAGCTGGTAAAGGCACATGCCACTAAGACTGAGGACCTGAGTTTGATCTCCAGGACACATATGGTGAGAGAAGAAAGCTGACTCCAGCAAACTGTCCTCTGACCTTCACGCTCAGGCCAAGGCACCCCAGACCCCCAATAAACATGAGAAGAGACTGCTGAGAACAATGTGATAAAAAAAAATAAACACCAGAGAACATATATCCATAATGCTGAATGGGCAATTCCTAAGTGAGCAGCTTAGTTACTTGAATGACATGTACTTATGTGAGGATATCTGGTTGAGGATATTTGTTGAGAATTACTAAAGTGGGTGAAAAAGTTGTCAACTACTACCTTTAAGTCATAAAAAGTTGTTGGTGTGGGTAAGAGAGAAGTAGGACCCAGAGCTAGAGAGTAGGAGATGGCTTTGATGTGTTTGAAAACTTTGGTCTCACCCAGCATGTAGACCCTTCATGCACATAAAACCATACTTTCATATTCTCTCTTTGAAGGCTCTATGCTTTGGGGTCTAGATGTTCCTTTAGGCCTCAGTTTGGGAGAATAAAAGGGACTTTTTTTTTGGAAAGGGTCTTGACAAAGGCTGGCTACGGGATAATTTTGATACCAGACCCATGTTAATTCTGATTTAGAAAAACTCTCAGCTTAGGAGTAAGCAGACATCCTAGCTTTTTGTTTGTTAATACAGCCCTCCTAACCCCTCCCTACATGCCTAATCTCATAAGGATTCAACCAGACAGCAGAACTTCAGGGATAATCACTAGCTCCTTGTGAGAGAGGACACAGGCAAAGGAATGGGACACAGCAGGGTGAACCAGCACCACCCAGTGGCTGTCAACTAATTTAACAGTTTCTTGAAAAGAATCCAAAGGCCCTTGCCTCACTCTTTGATAGTAAACTGTATACAAACACACATAAGATAGAACAAGAAAATGGAGTATTCCGGAGGTTGAAAGTCTTGGTTCTTTTTGGGAAAAGCTGTAGCAGCGTGACACGGTGTACAAACATCCCCTTTTAGAAACAATTGTTTTTATGTGTATGTGTGTAGTCTGCTTTTCTCTATAGGTATCATCTCTGTGCATGTGCCCACCGATGCCAGAAAAGGGGACTGGATCCCTTAGAGCCAGAGTTATATGGAGTTGTGAGCCAATCCACATGGATTCTGAAAATGGAACTTAAATGCTTTTCACCATGGAGCCATGGCTTCAGCCTCTAACAGCCCCATGTTGAACTGAGTAGGAATACATAAAAAGCAAGACTCATTATCACAAACTGGATGACATCAACTGGACTTTGAGAATTTAGTTCCTACATATGCTACACACGATTTGCCACATCACTTCAGAGGTGAGCAAGATATTCTCCTTCAAGTTGGGAATGGTATTTTTTTTCTTCTTTTTTTTTTTTTTAAATGTGTAGCACATTTCTGAGAAATTTTTATTCCTTTTAATTTCTGGTTATCATTCAGATTATCAAAATAATTATTTTATTGTAATAGTATTTGCCGTGATGGTTAATTCTGTCAGCTTCACTAGATCTAGAGTCAAGTAAGAGATGTGCCTCTGGGCAGGTCTATGGAGGCATTCCAAAGAATTAATTGGGGGGAGAAGACTCCCCAAGAGTAGGCAGCACCTTCTGGTGGCACCCCAAATATAATTAAGTCTGAAGGAAAAGCAGCATTGCCTGCTTGCCTACCTTCCCTTCTTGTTGGTGAATGTGTCTGTTCTGTTGCTGCTGTTGTCACTAACATCCTGGCCTAGCATCAGAACCCAGCTTCCAATGTGAACTAAAGGCCAGCAGCTCTCTGGGAATCTTCCAGGTCTTCAGTGCTGTACCTGGACTGCTGAGGCACCCCTTTTTAAGGATGAGCAGCTACCAGTTTCTCAGCCTCTCCAACATGTAGAAAAGTCATTGCTGGCCTGCCAAGCCCCTATTGTGTAATCTGATACAATGAATCCTTTAATAACATATTTATCATATCAGGGTTGTTCTTCTTGAGATTCCCTAGTACAATTGCTCTCTGGGAAGACTTAAGAAAACAAGGGGAAGAGAGAGCTCCTAGCTCCACTATTAAACATTGCCACTGCTACCATGTAATTATTCAGTGAACATCTATTTAAAGCACAAATTCTGGGGCCAGACTTATTTTACATTTCAGCTGTGCCATTTTGAAGCTGAGTTTGGGTTAAGTTGCTCAGCCTGTTCCTTGCGTTAGTTTTCTCATCTCTAGCATGAGGCTAATGTATCTCTCTCTGACAGAGTTTTAATAAGGATTAAATAATCTATGTAAAGCTTTTAGAATAGGGCCTGTGCATACTAACATTGTATTGGCTATGACTTCTATTGCTGACTCCTGTTATTCAAACCATATACAAGGAATCCTGCTGAAGGCTAAGCATTTATTAAACTGTTTCTATTCAGTTTCATGTAGTTTGTTTCTGCACTTTAATACCTGAAACTATGAAATACATTTTTATGTTTTAAATTTACATTATAGTATAATGTTTATTTAGTAGTACAACTTTTGGGTGGTACAGTGAATTAAACCTAGGGCCTCACATATGCTAAGCAAATATTCAACTACTGAGCTACAGTCTGAACTCAGTATAGTTTTTAAGGATTGTTAATGCTGTTGCTTGATGTTACTATTGATCCTGGTATAAGATGGTGAACCATTTTGGATATGTAGATTTTTATCATTAACATGGAAAAAGAAAATTATCTTTAAAACAATCATGCATGTGTCTGTGTAGCAGGTACATGAAGTACCTATGGAGGACAGATGTGGGCATCATATTCTCTGTAACTAGAGTTAAAGATTGTTATGAACTGTCATGTGAATACTTGGAACTGACACTGGGCCCTGGGAAGAGCAAGCAGTACTCTTAACTGCTGAACCATTTCTCCAGACCCAGCAACATCCTAAACAGGTATTCTGGAATCCCACATCCCTAGTCTATCTTCAGTTAGGCTAGAAGATTCACTCATACTTTCTTCTCTCACACAGCAATCTGTGTATCTCTGTACAGTGTAGGATGCTAAGTGTTGGGCATTCAACCCTGAATAAAGCAAAGCACTTTCCTGACTTATTCTGAAGTTGAGGGATACTCCAGGTGAGGGAACACTGGGAAAAACCTCAAACTTAAAATTGCTGATTAGGTATTTTCAGGGTATGTTGGACAGGGGATAAAGGGCTCTGGGCAGGAGCTGAAAATAAGTAAAATCAGAGGTTGAGAATAGCCTAGTATGTGCAGAATGACTGTAGTCTTGTCTGTAAATAAATGTAAACTGCATGGGGGGGGGGGAGATGCATGCAGGGAAATCTGGCTAACAATACTGCTTGGACCCAGAACAGAAACTCAAGTTTACAATACGTAGGAAAAGGAACCAGACAAGGTTTTGTCTAATAAACTGTCTCAGGAAGGCAAAGACAAGTCCAACAAAAGACAGAAGTAGGGCTAGACTAGAAGTCATGACAGTGAGAGGATGGTATGAAGGTTAATTAATATCTGATGAAGCCAGGTGTAAAGTCTGAATCCTGGCATTTGGAAGTTAGAGGCAGAGTGATCATGAGTTCAAGGCCAGCCTAGGAAACAGAGGCCATCCAGGAATGTAGTGGCCCAGTTCGTCCCACATTCGGGGGTCACCCTATATCTGTCCGAGCTGTTGCTTCAATCTGTGGGTCAGGGTCTAGCAAGAGAGAGAGTGGGTACGGAAATGCAAAGAATGGAGACGAGACAGAGTCTAATGTGTTCTCTCCTTAAGTCTCTCCTTTTATATCTCTCCTCAAGTCTCGCCTTGAGTCTCTCAAGTGCTGGGATTAAAGACGTGTGCCACCACTGCCTGGCCTTGATTGAAAGGAAATCAAGGGTATATCAAGATAATTATCAGAGTGTGCTCAGCTGTTGTAGGCTGTTGAAAACAAGTCTCTTGTCAGTGTATATGGCTCAATATGGCTGCAAAGATGATAGCCACTTTCTGCCCAGAGTCGGCTCCCAACACAGGAACACATCCAGGAACAGGAAAACCCTACCTCAAACAAAACAATGAAAAAGAATGCAGAAAACAAAAGGCAACCAAATTAAAAAAAAATATAAGAAAAATCTATTTGAATGAAAGGCCAAGTTCAAAACATTTTTAAGATACAAAAATAATTGGATCTAGAGTACAATGACAAAACAAACAAACAAACAAACAAACAATACAAGTGGAAGATATAACGACTTCTAGCTTTGGATGAGACCAGACGACATTAAGAGAGTCAAAACACAAACTGCAAAGTGAGTCAGGAAAGAAGAGAAAGGAATAAGCTGTTCATCTAGACATGCTGTGTTAAGCCACTGAAATAGACTTGAGAAATTGGCAGGTTTAAGTTTAGCTCTGGAGCCTGGGATAAAGATGGAAGCTGAAATGCTAGCATAGTACAGTGGGTACCACGGGAGGTGAGATCATGTGGTTAGGGTCAAAAAAAATCAACAGGGGCCCAAGAATATAACTTCCAGAGATGTAAGAAATGGACAAAAAGCAGAATATTGGCAGAATGATAAAGAACAGTAGTAACTAGGACACGAATAAAGACAATCAAGCAGAGGGACTTAAGGGGTGGCTAACTTTGTCTGTGGACAGGCAAGTGGCTGGACTGACAACAAATCAGCAATGGGGCAGCTGTGACCTTGCCTAACAGTGACCTTAGGAAGAAGCAATGTGAAGAGAGTGTGAATGGATAGCACGAGCATCCAGCTCTGTAAGTCTGTTAGTCATGAAAGGCATCTATGAGGGTGTAGCATCTTCATAATGGGAGATTTCTGGACAGCAAAGTCTTGACTGGCAGTTTATGAACAGCATATGTTTATTTTATCTACTGGTCAAATTTGGGTATAATAAAAAATAAGTCAAAGACTCCATCCAATCTATATACACACATACATGTAACTATTTCCTCCTGTGTCTTAGACTAGAACACAAAGCAATAAAAGCTGTAACCTTACTTTGAATAGGGTGAGAATCACAGTTTGGTCTTTATCTGGGTTTACCATGAAAGCAGTCAGTAAGCGGTATGCCAGATAGTCTTGTGCCACAGAGTTCTATTTTGGCCAAAAATGAGGTTCAGACATTATATGGTCCCATGAAGTCCTATCTCTTTGTAACATCATAAACACCTTATATACTATTTAGGGAATCTTAGGGTATGTCTAGATAAAATTTCAAGATTTATTACACTCAAATCTTAGAGTGGACATCACTGTTAGAGATGGTTATATCTATGGAAAATAGAGTGTAGAACAACACTGACAATTTAAAGACTTTAATATTCTGTGGGTTTGAGATTTCAATATGGAAATCGTTCATGAGGTCCTAGGTTCAATCCCCAGTACCACGAAGTTTCAAAATAAAAACCCAGCCATCAAATGTTACTTTGATACTTGAAGAATGCATTAGTATCTACAACACTATTTCAAATTCTGCTGCCCCAATTTCTGTGCATTTTAAACAGGGATCTAAGAAACTAGCAGAATACAGTTTTATAGTCCTTTACAAGGTCCTCCAGCCAGTCTCTAATGAATGGACAGCTAAATACTGGTTAGACAGTGATGGAAGCTGTCAGTAAGGGACAATTATCTGGGTGGCTCTCAAGTCAGGCATTTCATATTAACTTCAGGTGGCGAAAAGTGATGAAAAACTCCTCTCCTGTTCCTGGGTCATGGAACAAAAGTCTGATTGTGATTTGGTCTAGGCTAGATTATATATCGAATGTCAAAGCAATAATGTTTTTTGTCCTTTTTAAAAATTCCAATGTAAATAACAAGCAAAGTTGCAGTTCAGACAGAAATAGTTTGTTACATTTTGAGAAAATATTGCCAAGTCCTCATTACCTAGAAAACTAAGTAGTTCCTTTTCTTTACAGTTTAGCTCAAACTTTATCTTTTTTTCTATTTTTCATGGAATTGAACATCTTTAATCAATACGTAAATAAGGTGAGTTTTAGTACTTTATTATCCATTCAATGATATAAATATTGTGTCAGTTTCTACAGTCTCTTGACTTTAATGTATAGCTATCTATAGATCTGCTTCTACTTATCTATGCTAGCCTTCAGGTTATTTCTGGCAATTCTGGCTTGCTTGTTGGTGAAGAGGTCCTAAACCACCCGATTCTGTTTGGCTTTTGCTAGTCTAAAAATGACTGATTTTGATTAGAAATTTGAAAATGACAATGAGGACTTCTGAGTGTATCTAGAACTAAACAGTTTACCAATGACAAAGACAAGAATCATTCTATTTACTAGTGTTAATGTTTAAGACCCTTAGCACTTCCACAAAGGGTAATTACAGGAGAAGTGTTCAATCAGCGGTTACCTTATCTAGAACAAAATGCTCTAATATCCCCAGCATTACTTCTACAGTCAGGGGGAGATAATTTCATAGTTGTCTCAGGTGCTGTAGTATGTCTACAGATACTCCCAGCTGTTTCACTAAATTGGATGTCTGTTCCAGAATCCAAGTGAGGCTTGGCTTTTCCAAATGCGTATGCTCTTGTGTTCTACAACATTCTGGATGTGAACAATCCATCCCGTTTGGACTCTTGTCAGAATCTGTGTTAATCTCAGCATTATTGTCACCTTTCACTTCATCAGCCTTTCTCTCAGCTGGAACTACATGACAAAGGTCCATATCCTCAATGGAGTCCAATAAATCTGTAACTCGTGGCTGGGATGTAACTGATTTCAGATGTTTGAGCATACACTCTTCACACTGGCCAACTGCATCCAGAAGATTATCTATCTTACTGATCAAAGTCGAACTATTACCATGAAGGCGACACCAGGAAAGCAAAGCACTAAACAAAAATATGAACAAGAGTTAAATAGGAAAAAAATTAGTCACAGACATTTAGAATACTAAATACTACATCTTTCTTCTAGACAACACCATGCAGAAATACTTACTTGATAATGCATGTCAAAATTAAGGAAGTACTGATGTAAATAACACTGAAGTTTAAACACAGTATATTTGAACATATTAATCAAGAAGACTTAATATTATAAACTATTTATAAATAAGATTCCTTCATGGCAGTGTATGTTTTTTTAAAAAGATTTATTTATTTTATGCATGTCACCATGTGGTTGCTGGGAATTGAACTCAGGACCTCTGAAAGAGCAGTCAGTGCTCTTAACCACTGAGCCATCTTTCCATCCCCATCTATTTTTTATTTTATAATTTCCTGGCCATTTAACTTCTATGCAATAAGATATTATTTATAGAAAGACCAAAAAAGTTTCTTATTTTTCTTTCCTTTTAAAGTAGAAAACTTGACTTGTTAAATTATTAAAGACAAAACATTCTCAGGAGTATTTTAGAGACTTCATCCTGGGCTACTGATTGTTTTGTCAATGTGACCTCAAGTTAATGTTTTTCTTGGCAGTACTCAATATTTAGCCTAAGGCAGCAAGCAGTTGAGGTAAGCATCCTGACCCTGACCTATAGCGCCAGCCCCACTTTCTTCTTTAAGGATATCAAATAGCTTCTAAATCAGTCATTCTAAACTTTGTCACAAAGTAGAATTACCAACAGAGCTTTAATATTCTTGAAAAGTGTTAAGAATTCGACTCCTAATATATTTATTTCTGTTACTTTTCTAGTAGACCAACCTTCCTCCCTGATTTTTCATATAATAAAAAATAACAGTTCTCTCTTTTTCCTTTTTGGTGGGTACTGAACCCAGGGTTGTGTGCACGCTGAACACACACTCTACCCAGGTTACAACCCTGTTTGAAAATACCGTAGAAGTAAAGTGTCAATGGATGTGAAACACTGGGCCGAAAGCTTTCTAAGGTCATAAACATGAAGTGAAGGTCAACATTTGGCCATTTTCCTCTTGTTCTAAATTATATAGTCTACTTAATTTTCTAAAAGTCTCAATAAAATTGAAAACATTTTTTTTCTCTCTTTTTTTAAAAATGTGATTCTTTGCGGCCGTTTGTTTCTCTATAAGGATAGTCTAAAAAGTATCCCCATCAAAGAAGCTTGTCCAATTCTTAGTCACCATGTGTACCTACTTTTCGGCTCTAGTCTCTGCCATTATTGCTATGGTATCCTACAAGTATTAAAGTTCAGGACTTAAATAAACAGGACCTCTTTCTATGAGTAATTACGGCTTTCCCCATGGACTTAGCTGACAGACCTATCATGTGATACTCTATTACAAGTGCAGGTAAAACAGCTTTATTTAGAAGCTAAAAACCCCCATCATGACTGACTAGTGCTAGTCCAAATGGCAAAAAGGGAAAAACAGTTTTATTTAGAAGCTAAAAACCTCCATCATGACTGACTAGAGCTAGTCCAAATGGCAAAAAGGGAAAAGTATCAGACACATCTACTAAAATGGATGAATTGACAACAGCTCTAGAAAACCTTTTGAAAGCAGTATTTTATGCTCTGAAGAGTCCTGTATCCAACATCAGGAAAAATACTTTAAAACGTTTAATTTTTACATATTACTTTGATTAAAAAATTTCATTAGAAGCTGGGCAGTGGCGGCACACACCTTTAATCCCAGCACTTGGGAGGCAGAGGCAGGCAGATTTCTGAGTTCGAGGCCAGCCTGGTCTACAGAGTGAGTTCCAGGACAGCCAGGACTACACAGAGAAACTCTTTCTCAAAAAAAAAAAAAAAAAAAGAATGGTGGCTAAATGGTTCATCACTTAAAATTTTTAAAATTACCTCAGTGTTCCCCTGAGTAGTCCATAGTTTATAACGACATCTGCACCCTCTTTATATCCTTGATTGAAGCCCTGTTGAAGAGTAACTGCTTTGCCAGCATCCATCCCATCTCTGTAACCTTCCTAAAAATAAGAAACCAGTTGTAACTGACACCAAGTAAATCTTTTCAGGAAAAGCACAGAAACAACTTTGAAAACAAATTTAGGTTTTTACTATGTTAACTGAATTGTGATATGGGACAGACATAAATCCAAAGCAGAATGTTTCTCCTAAAATCTTATTATTGGTATATTTCCTTATCACATCTGTTTTATTTTTTTTTAAATCTTTTCCACGCTGGCCTGGAACTCATCCTACTGCCTCATCCTCCTAAGCGATGACAGGCATGCCACATGCTTTACTCACTTTGGAAAGCTAGGGCTATTGTGCAAACACTAAATGTCACGTAATTTTAAAAAACTGTGTTAACAAGGTCTTCACAGAAATGGAAAACGACATGTCTGGTCTCTTGGTAACTGGCTAGAACAGGGTAGTTAAGGAGGTTGGCAAGGTCAGGGAAGAGGAAACTACTTTAGGAACAGTAAAGAGGAAGTCTGATTTTAGAAATCTAATCTGAACTGTGGTGTAGAGATTTGTCCTCTTATTATTGGTTTAGCCCCATATTCCTAAGGTATTTTTGTAATGACATGATGGTTGCTGGACTCAACAAATAGTAACTTACTGGAACATTAAACTAGAGTAGACACAACTGCAGTTTTAAGAGGGTAATTTAATGGCTAATATATTGGGTGGATGCAGTTCTTATCTTTTAAATATTTAAGTAATATACATTTACTTATTTTTCTTGAGGGAGGCATCATTTATTTACTTGCATGGCATAGCTTGAGTGTGAAGGTCAGAAAGTAACTTCCAGAAAGCCATTCTGTCCTTCCGCGATGTGGGTTCCAGGGATCGAACGTAGATTGTTATATTGTGGAATCCACCTCTATGTGGCGACAGATCTTAGCAAGTAGTTCTCACCCAGAAAAAGCGCCGATTCTACCCAGATATTATTAAGCAAGTTTCAATGAATGGTGAGACAGGTCCGGATTGAATAACGCATTTAAAGTAAAGATGGAACAGTATTCCCTTCTCTACCTTCCCCTAGACGACTTCTTCAGTTCACCTTTTCCAAGCCTCTGTAAACACCACGCCTAACTGTGGACTCTCCACCCACTGAACAAATGTGAATCTGCGTTCTCTGCCGGCCATTAGGCTAGTGGGTGTGTCTCCTCCTCAGCTCTTCTCCTCCCCGAACTACAAACTCTCGAGGGACTGAATAAAGCTCACGCTTGGTCGATCAGTGCCCCTGCTCCAAACCCGGCTGGGGCTCAGAATGAACGCGCCTGTTTTAAAAGTTATCAATAAACAACTGGGAAATCCTAAGACGGAGGCACCGTTGGGGCGCGCTCGGTCAGAGAGCCGTACTCCCCCGCCCAGGCTTCCCTCTGCGTGCCCCAGCGCGGGAGCCCGTGTCCCACGTGGGGGCCCCTTTCCCCGCGTGTCCCAGGTCCCGTCCATTTACTTGGACTCGTTTCCGCATGTGACCCTGCCATTCCCGCTGCACTAGCAGAGACTCGTCCGCTTCCTCGTCAAACACGTCCTGGTCTACGGGGCTCGGGATCTCTGAAGCCGCTCGAAACCAAGACATCGCCGGGAACACCAAGAGCACGGAACCACCGGAAACTCAGACAAGTGCTTCCGGTTCGGGGGGCGGGACGAAAAGGCTAGGAGTGGGACGAAGGGGCGTGTGTGGCTCCCCCTGCTGCCAGGAGTCTAGGGACTGGTCTCCTCCCACGCATCTGGGTTGGGCGGCGTGGGGCGGGGTGGGTGCTGGGAGCTAAGTCCCACCGTTTAAGGGCTAAGATTCAGTTTCTCCAAGTGCTGAAGGCATTGGACGCCAAAGTGCGGCCAAGAACATTATAATATGAAAGCTGATTCTAGGATCAGTTTGTGATTAAGTAATGAGAAGACATTTGTAAAACCAGCATCCATTGACAATTTCCCTCTTTGATGTCTCCTCAGAGATTATGAGAGTTCAGGAATGTGGCTCAAGCATTAGCCACTTCTGGCTCGGAGTACATTTTGAAGAACTGGACGCCAGTAGCGTTCTTGTTTTGTCATGTGATACTGAATTTTTCTGACAAGTTTTTTGGAATACCTATTTCGTATTAGTCATCATTTTAGGTCTTTGAGGGACAGTGTGCTGTAGGAATAAAAGTTCTTAGTTCCTATGGACTTCCTATTAGTGTAGAAAAGGCCAGTTGGCCAATAATAATATGTAAGTAACTCATAGTTTTAAGACTGTAAGTGATATGAAAAACACATTACTGTGAGGGAAGAGGATACAGGTTACTGTTTTAATTTATTTTACATTTTTGTTCTGAGGACTGGGCCACAAGCCTTGCAAATGGGGAATTTATGCTCTGTCAATAAGTTATCCCCTACAGTCCCAAAGTTATTATATCTTCAGAGAGAATTTTGTATCCCATAAATATATGTATAAAACCAAATATAAAATGTATTAAGATGTATATATAGAGAGATCTTAATTAGAAACAAAATGGCAGTATGGGAAGCAATAGAGATAGTGATTAAAATGAGTAAAATAGAAAACCCCAAACTTCTTCAGTGAGTTGGTTCGGTAGGTAAAGCCCCAGAAACTGTGTCAATTACCACAACCTATGTGATGGATGGAGAGAATAAACTCCGACAAATTGTCCTCTGACCTCCACACATGTACTATTGCATGTACACATACACACATCATATGAAAATAAATGCAATTAAAAAAAATCCAACTTAACCCTTGTATGATAAACCCTAAAGGACAGAGTCTGAAGAGATGGTTTTGCTGCTCTTCCGGAGGATGCTAATTTGCATCTACATACAGGTGGGTGGTGGCTCACAACCATCCGTAACTCCCTGGAGGGAGTCTCAAGCCCTCTTCTGGCCTCTAAAAGTGCTTGCACACACATGGCATACACACATACAAATATATACACATACATACAAGTAAAAATAAATCTTTTTTTTTTAGATTTATTTATTTCATGTATGTGAATATACTGTTGTTATCTTCAGACATACCAGAAGAGGGCATCAGATCCCTGTTATAGATGGTTGTGAGCCACCATGTGGTTGCTGGGAATTGAACTCAGGATCTCTGGAAGAGCAGTCCATGCTCTTAACTGCTGAGCCATCCCTCCAGGCCAAAAATAAATCTTAAAAAAGAAAAAAAAAAAAAAGAAAACATAGTCTTGTCCTGTCTCTTTCTCATTAAAAAAGCAGGAAAAAAAAGCAAGACAGGAATTAGGAGGTAATCACCAATGGAGATGAAAAACACTATAAATCATTCAAATGCAAAAGCAACAGATTTAGTCTTTTAAGACAAAGTCTTATAAAGCCTGAAATGTAGGAGGGTGAGAATAATTTTGAACTTCTGATTTTTCTGTCTCTAACTCCCTAGTGCTAGGATAACAGATGGGCATCAGCATGCCCAGTCGTGCGGTGCTGAGGATTGGATACAGGACTTCCAGCATTCATCCCACCAACTGAGTGACAGCTCCACACCCTTCAATGAATATATACCCTTTAAAAGCTGAACTGTCTGAGCTATAGCTTAGTCAGTCCTTTTTGCAAGGATGAAGACAAGAATTAGAACCCCATAACCCACATTTTTTTTTTTTTTAAAAAAGCCAGATGTAATAATGTGTATCTGTAATTCCAGATCTTAGGTGGTGGAGACAAGTGAATTTCTGGGGCTCTCTGGTCAGCCAGAATAGTTTACTAGGTGAGTAAACTCCAGCTTAGCTATTCCAGCTCTCCTCACCAAAGGTATAGTACCCAAGGAATGATACTGAAGTTGTCCTTAGACATGCACCCTAACATTACTGCACCTGAATACTCACAAGAACGCACATGTGCATGTACACACACACACACACACACACACACACACACACACACACACACTGTCTTCCTGAATTTTAAAACAGGTCTTCAACTTTCTCTACTGTGGCCCTTCTGCTGTTGTAGTGTCAGGGAAATTTAGAGATCTCCAAAGAAAAAGATAGGAGCCAATCTGATGTAACTTATAGCAGGATGACATTCAGGATGGTTTTAGTGGAGAGAGGAGCCCCAAATATCTATCAGGGCCAGGCTTTATAGTAAGCAGCAAGTAGGGGTCAGTGTGTAAGCATTTAATTTGAAAGCTACTATGGTAGCTGGGAGTCATATCATAAATTTAATTTCTGCTCCCTTCTGCATTGGTGGTCATTAGGCAAGGGGTGGGCTTATAATCAGGGGGTGCAGGTTTGTTGGGGGAATAACCTGGAGATGCTGATCTTGTTGGGGGTGTAACCTGGGACTGCTGGTCTTGTTGGGGTGAGCCTAGAGGCTCGGGTTTTGTTGGGTGAATAATTTGGAAACTAATGTTAGATGCTGTTGGGAGCCAACTCCAAGCAGAAAGCGGCTATCATCTTTGCAGCCATCTTGGGCCATATATTTGAAGGTTGATACTTTTCCACCCTGACAAGAGACTTGTTTTTTTAGCATGATGCCTACAACAGCTGAGCACACTCTGACTTGTTGTTTAGTGTCTCCAGCTGTAAGGCACACGTGGTAAAGTGTCTCCAGCTGCATGCCCCTGCTTGTGCTTATACACCCATGATTTCCTTTCAATAAATGAGACTTGATCAGACTCTCTGTCTTGTCCCTCCATCCCCACTCTCTCTCTCTCTTGCAGACCCTGGGCCGGGTCAAGATACTAGCCTGTTAGTTTACCTGAATTTAAACTTAGGTCAACTTCTCTAAAAAACTGAGTCTGAATGTAAAAGATGTGGCTTCTTGATGTGGCCCCTTTCACTGAGAAATTTTTATATAACTGTTGCAGGATATTTGATCACATTGTGAACCCTGAGATTGTGAACTGTTAAAAACCTGTTTCTAGCTGTGGTAAGGCTCAGCCCTTGATAACTAGAGCTTTTTGTTTACGATAAGTACCTGTGTGCCTCAGCCCTAGCCTTTAATCTAAGAGCTAAATAAAGTCAACTGTAGGTCAAGAGGTGGAGCAAGTAACCAGGGGAGTGAACATAAGTAAACAGGAAGGAGGGGCTCGGGTTGAAGGATATTTAAACAGCATGGAGAAGGAGAAAGAGACTTTTTTTCTGAGACACCTGCTGAGTGCTTTCTCTGCCTCTCTGAGCTAGCAGGTTTTCACCCTAGCATCTGGCTCCTGAGTCTTCATTTGGTAAATCGAATGTTTGGGATTTTGTTTTTTAAAAACAACATACAACCATGAAATAGGAATGAAAATCAAGCATCATACTGATATAGCATATAAACATTTATATTCTTTGGTGTTACATGGAATTTTATTATTTATTGAAGATAAAAGCAAATTTGCATACTAATGCATTGGGCATGATTACTTACTTTTCCATAAACGATTAAAACTTAGCTATATTACTTGATACTGCAGGACATGTAGCATCTTCAGTATTTTTCAAGTTGAGAACAACTTTTATGAAATGTATCTGTGGCTCAAATAGCTATTATAAAATTAAATATTTGAATACAATGCAATCTGAAGATCCACTAATTGATACTGACACACAGAGAAATGGTTGTAGGGAACATTAAAGGTTGTTGTTTTCATTGTATTTCTGTAAAAGCAGAGACCGATGTTTACAGTGAGAATACTTCAGCATGGAGCATGCAAGTCTTGACTCTGATCCTGGTGCTTGAGGTTAGGGTCACTGGCACTGTGTGGTGTGTGCAGTGTACAGTGTGCTTGCTGTGCTTGCTGTGTGCTTAGATCCAGGCTGCATGAAGTGAACAATACAGCATGAGCAAATGCTCTCAGATATACCCTTCATTCAGTACACATTTGATATATTTGATTGGTGCACCTTTTATTGTTGTGGAAGGTTTCATGACTCTTGTGTATTCAGTTATATGACCCCCTGAATAAAGAAGATCTTTCTCTCCCCCCTCCCTTCCCCTCCCGCTCCTCCTCTCCCTGTCCCTGTCCCTCTCCCTCCCTCCCCCTTCCTCTCTCTCTCTCTCCCCCCCCGTGTGTGTGTTCGTGTGTGTGTGTGTGTGTGAATGAATGCACACGCACGTGTGTAGCCTATCTGTATGTATTGTGTGTGCAGGCATATGTGTCTATCTGTGTGCACGTGTGTAGAGGTGGGGGTTTTCTGATGTCTTTCTCAATCATTCTCCATCTTATGTTTTAAGACAGTTTCTCTTTGGCAGTCACGAATGGAGTAGGCTGACTGGCCAGTGAGCACCAGGAATTTGACCCACTGTCACCTAGAACTACCACACTTGGCTTTTTATGTGGTTTCTATAGATTTGAACTCATGTTCTCAAGCTTGTCCAATAGGCACTTTATCAAATGAACCATGTCTCCAGCTGCAGCTGCACTTTAAAGGTTTCCTATATAATCTGGACATAAGACCCAAGTCAGATGC